CTGGATATATGTTTTGGGATCTTTAAAAAGATACAAAACAAAGACTTGAGTTGACGAAGGCTAAGACGCTTCCAGTCACACCTTTAACTCAATGGTTGGTTTCATGAATTACATAACTGAAAAAAAAAACAAACTGAAATCTTAATTCCATTTGACCACACGTCTTCCATGTCCTCCGATGTCGTTTCAGTGGAATTCAGTGACAAGTCCTGCTGGAATGTGGTTTTGGAAGCCAACATTCACATAGAAAATCTGTGGAAAGTTTGTTTGAATGAGGAGTCTTAATTTGATCTTGCGGTCATTCGCAATAGGTTAATTGTTAGAATAAAAATTGCAATGCTAGACAATAGTGCGTAGTAATGACCATCATATTGGAAGTAGTTCCAATGATAGCAATGACTTGGAACATCGCTCTTGCGAAATGTTATTAAGCGTCAATAAATTATTTCTTATTAATTTACACCTTACAGTTTGTAAGTGAATCACTAAAGCTTACCTATTTTCATTAATCTGCAGTGCTAACAAATGTAAAAATTAATTAAGACTCGGAAGGTAAATTCAATGAATTATTTAAATGTTGGTTTACTTGCTTCTTTGTTATTAAGTACAATGGGTATAGTAGTACTCTGCCAACTGCGGATATCGAAACCCGATTTACACGTTTTAATTTTTTTGATATTTTTTTGTATGTATGATCACTTATTAAAATGATCATTGCGTCATGAAAATTATTCCGACCAACTGATACGACATTGTATATGCTGTACAATGAAAAGAAAAATAACGGTAAAATTTGTAATCCAAACTCTTCTTTGTTTCAACTAAATACTAGTAAAATACTTGAGGATAGAGAGTACGACATGAAGGTATTGAATTGGTCGCTAACATAATAAGCTTTCTACAATAATAAGTCACAATTTTTAAAAATAATAAACGCTTTACCTCTTTAGGGTGAATTTTTGAAATTATATATTATAAGTCCATAGTATCATCAGTTATTCTATAAATCACATTCTCCTTAAAGTTACCACATAATAGGAGCTGGGCGCCCTCTGTACAAACATTTAATAACTAGTATGTGTTTTATTTGAAGCATATATCACACACATCGACTGTCATGAAAGAACTGTTCTTCTTTTATAAAGTACTGGTCGTCCTTCCTTGGCGTTTCCCGGGTTTAACCTGAATAGAAAGACGATGTTTAGCTATTTTTAAACAGAAAAGGGTCAAAATCTCACTTTTAATGTAACAATACATGTCAAATGGTCATATTTTCAATGAGAAAAATGGCTTAAGAGCGTAGAAATTAAAGAAAATAAATAAAACCATAGATTTATTCTATAGTTCACTGGATAAACTAATAAATTACACTTTTGGTTTCTTGTGGAGTTTCACTCTGTCACTTTTGTTGAATACGTTTTATTGCCTGTGATTGGCAATCACAGTTGTTTTCCTTTTTCTCGACAGTTTACTCTGAGGAACATAACCAGCATCAGAAATGTTTATCATACCTAACTCCACTCCCAAAATAAAGTGAATAAAAAAACAATTTATTTTTTCAGAATTTCGCGGGTTCAACTTGTCTATTCTATAAAAAAAATTAGTCTTGTTTGTCCGTAGACACGACAGTGTTTGATGCATTTTTATTCTGACACCACAACTGCAGCACACATCCCTATAAAATACACATAAATTTTTCTGATGTTATTTTCACTTAAATCAGACCAATGATCCGGTCCGTCTTTTGTGGAAAAAAATTAAATTACAAAGTTTTCACTGACTAGAAATGTGACGTCACAGACATTAAATCTGAGTACGCTTATTCCATATCTTTATAGGCTTACTATTATAGGGGCTGAAAGAAGCGAACAAACAGACACAAACTTAGCTTGAAGAAAGTTTTACATCATTCGTATCTCATTCAATTTTTTTTTTCAAATAAGGTCAATTTTATTTTTTTTTGCTGCACGGGAACAACTATTTTCATTAAAAAGTGATTTTTTTATCCATATGAAAATCTGAAATTTTATTTGTCCAAACACACAATCCCTGAAAGAACTATGTAGAATTATACACGTACTTTTCTATGTGTTAAAATACTTTTACTTGCGAGCTTTCGGCCATCTTACTGGAACCTTCATTAGGCAACAATGTACTTAGCGATATAAATTCGCTAACTGTTAAAAACACCAAACGTATAAAAAATCAAAGAAGCTATTGCCATACAAGCACAAGACAGTGAACCACCAATGGGTATTAATCAAAACAACGGTCAACAACTACTCAATACTGCATGGACACCACTATTTGTTGTGGTATTGATGTAAAATTAAAAGTTTAATTTTACAATATATTATTTGAAGTATGAAAATTCCTTTATTTCTCTACATAATAAGTATAATTGTATTTTCCTTCTGTTTATTATATCGAACCAATCGATTTTTATATTCTATGCTCATCATAATTCTATGTATTTAATAACTAACACCAGATGTCAGTTATTGTTACGATTGTTGCCCAGATACCTATTTTAAAAGGGAGTTCCACAGTTAACGAATTTTATCGCTCAGTACATTGTTCCCCGGTTTGTTTTTAATTTCGCGCAAAGCTACACGAGGGCTATCTGCGCTAGCCGTCCCTAATTTAGCGGTGTAAGACTAGAGAGAAGGCAGCTAGTCATTACCATCCACCGCCAACTCTTGGGCCACTCTTTTTACCAACGAATAGTGGGATTGACCGTCACATTATAACGCTCCCACGTTATAATGAAAGGGCGAGCATGTTTGTTGTGACGGGGATTCGAACCCGCGACCCGCAGATTGCGAGTCGAGCGCCCTAACCACCTGACCAGAAGCTCGCAAATAAAGTATTTCAAAGTAGAGAAAAGTCCGTGTATAATTCTGCATATTAATGTACCTACATTATGAGTCTTGAACATCAGTCACTGAAAAAAACCGTTAAATGGTACAAATGTAAAAATACCATTTCTACTAATACTATTTGGTCTGTATATAAGTCAAAACTTTTTATATACAAGCTTTTATTCGAAATAATAACTCTATAATAAAATCCCTTAACCTCACACACATATTTTGAAAACAGTTTTTTTAGATACAAATATTTAAATATAATATTTCCGCCAATAATATGAGTTCTAATACTTTTATGTGTTTTTTTAAACCTGTTGTTACAAAACTGTTATTGCTTTATATTATTGACTGAAATATGTACACACAAACAAACATTTCAATATAATCATTTCCGTCAATAATATAAATTCTAATACTTTTATATGTTTTTTAAAACCTTTTGTTACAAAACTGTTGTTATTATTAAACACTTACTCCCTAACAATTTGTTGTACCAAACGACAGATGGCAGTATATACTTCTCTTTTTTTTTAATGGTTTAAGGCGGTAGAGCAAAATTATAGGCCAAAAAGGCTGGCCAATATTTTTTTGAGATACAAATAACACCCAGGTGCACCCCTTCAGAAGTCCCTCAGCATACAAAGTTTCAGGTCTTTAGGTTATTTCCTTTGGGAGCTATGGCGCTGACTGACTGACACACAGATAAGAAATAAAATATAATAGAAAATAATACTAATAATTCAAACTAATTTCTAGAAAACTATTATTCTTAAGCAAACAAAAGTGGTTACGTTGTCCAAGATGACGTTTATAATTTTATTTTGGTCACAGATAACAGTTTCTTAACCCCCATATGTTTTTCTCGCCAACGTCTGGTTCCTCAAATCCCTTAAAAACGTTAAAAGCAGAGTAATCTGGTAAGTTTATCTATTATACTTTATGGCCTATTTCTGAACAACTTGTTATTTTTATTGTATGTTTTTAAGTATAAAGTGATCCTACTATATAAACACCTTTGTTTTATTGTAAGACGGGCCCGGCATGGCCAGGTGGATAAGGCGCTCGACTCACAATCTGAAGGTCGCGGGTTCGAATCCGCATCCCACCAAACATGCTCGCCCTTTCAGCCGTGGGGGCGTTATAATGTGACGGTCAATCCCACTATTCGTTGGTAAAAGAGTAGCCCAAGAGTTGGCGGTGGATGGTGATGACTAGTTGCCTTCCCTCTAGTCTTACACTCTTGTAGCTTTGCGCGAAATTCCAAAACAAATAAATTATTGTAAGACATACTGGAATAATACACGTCGTTATAGCAACCGTTTCCCTAGTCTTGGAAGAGCTCTTCATCAATTAAATTCGTAACAAACGTTTTTGAAAATGCCCCCAAGAAAAAAAAAAACATAAATAATACTAATACTTCGCACAAAGAATGAAATTTCCCTAGAGGCAGCAAAAGGCATTTAAAATAATAATATTTAAAACTTTGCTACTTTATTTGTGAACACTTCTGGACACAGAAAAGTTTATTATATTTTGTCACAATTATTTTTGTACCTTCCTTGTGTACTTCTGGAACAGTTCCTAAAACACAGTACAATTTCGATACATAAATTTGTTGTTGATTGTTGTTCCTTTAGCAAGACTTTTCAATCCGGTAGCTTGTTTGTTTATATGTTAAGCACAAAGTTACACAATGCTTATACCGCTAGAAACCGGGTTTAGATACCCGTGGTGGGCAGAGCACAGATAGCCCTTTGTGTAGCTTTGTGCTTAACAACAAACAACAACTACACAATGGGCTATCTGGCAGTGCTCGCCACATGTGTCGGAACCGCTGTGCCACTAGAGGACCAAATCCGATAGCATATGTTTATTTAAAATAAAAGAACAATGAATAACGGAAGATGGCACCAGCAACTCGTGAGCTACAGAGTTGTATACGGCTTTGGTGAGCTAACATTGAAGACATATATTTATCGTGCTTTGTTATGAGTGTATGCAGCGAACCACATGATTGGCCATATTTCACTTCGCTTCTACCTCCTATCGGCCAATCGCCAGACTCGGTGCACTTAAAGCGTTTCAACATTTCTCTGTCAATACAAAATCCACTTGAAGCACGTGAGTAAATGCATTTGTTCATGAGGTGTGGGTATCTGTGTATGTGTGGTTATATTAGCGTTTGTATCGTCCCTTCTCGGGATTTTCTGTTATCGTTCAACAGCTTTTGAATTCTCAGTATCATGAAGGCTACCGTTGAAGTTTCGTCTAGCAACTGCTATATGAAGAAAACCAATAACAAAATTAATAAATTTACCAAAAGAGATCGTGATGAAACCAGCGACGAAATGCGACAACTCTTATATAAGCTGAAGGAGTTAGTGCCCAACATGCCGAAAAACAGGAGTCTATCTATGTTGGCAATAATTCAACATGTAATTGATTATATTCTAGATCTCCAGATCGCTCTCGAAACCCATCCAGCCGTTTGGCTCGCGAGTTACGGCATCACGACCAGACCAAGCCGGCAGCCGCTGGGACTTCTTCCTCATTCCTGCAATAATGTAGTGGTTAACTCTTGCACAATCGAAGAAGTAGGTTCGCTTTGTATTGTCTTACTAGTACCGATAACTGTTTATAAAAGTTGAAGGGATTATTTTATAAATCACTAACTGATTATAATTTTGTATGTACTTCAAATACATACATGACTTGTGAAGGTTGTGTTGAAGCTCACTTTTATACAAATTACAATGATGAACTTGGTTTTAGCTTAAAATAATTAGTATGTAGGTGATATAATCCACACAAGGCTCAGTGCATTTTATTGTTAAAGTCTACTTTAAAATAAATTTTCAATATTTTTGGTTCATGTACGTGAATGATCTGAATAACTATTTGACATTTTCATTTGCACATTTAAATACAACTTACGACCCGACGCTCAAAGTCCAAATACAACTGGATTATGCTGTCGTTTGATGAGGATGTTGTGATAGCTTACACTTAATTGTAATTAGTTTGTGTTCAGAGAATTGTAAGAAACTGAATACGATTTAGGCCTGAATTTGAAGGTGTTAAACTTTTGTTAGTAATAAAATCCAGATAATTGATTTGTTGTTTGAATAGTATTAACAACACATAATACATGGTTTATATTGGCGTTTGTTAAGTGTACTCAGTTCAGAGTATTGTTTATAATTTAAAATTATATCAAATTACGTGTGATTTATGGCATTTTACAGTTGGTTTATATAGACTTGTGTTTAAGAGTATTATTAAAAATATACTTGCATCATCGACATTCGCGTATGCTAAGACCAGGAGCGTATTCAACACTATGGAGTAGGTGGTAATTAAAAAAAAAAAGAATGTGAACATTTTCTTCTACATAAGAAAGGTTAAGTAAGTTACATAAAAGTCGAGTGTTTATTTAAAAAATAAGAAAACTGTGGACCTTTTACACCTTTGGAATACTGATGTAGTAATTCGCCCCTCCCCCACTTAACTACGTTCCTGAAGACGTGTTGTTAAATGTAACGATGTAAGAAATAGTTAATTACTCGTTATAGCACATTTCATATTGTTGCAATTGTGTGATGTCAATGATTTATACGTGAATTGCATTATTTATTGTATGCTATTAAAAGTACTATACGATTCTAAGTACTACTTAAATATAGCGTAGCCATGTGATGCTGTAGTGTATTTCTTCTTTCTTTCAGACTGAGAAGACACCGAGTCACCTAGGCACTGATCCAACGAGGTCTGTAATGAGTTAGGCGCTAATCGTACATTTGATTTGTTTTTTAATTTGGCCTTGAGAGTTGGATCGTTAGTTGAATGTTCAAGGTGTTCTATTGAATACATAAATAAAAATAGTCTCCACCCGTGAACTTTCATGTCGGCGAAGAAGCTGTACTATTTGTATTGGTGCGTGAAAAAAAAAAAAGACCTCAGTTCTTTCCACCGTACTTGTGCCTTAACGTGGAATCACAGGTGATCTAAGAAAACTGCCAGAAGTAAAGTTCGAAATAAACAAACAAAAAATACTAGAAAAATAATTCTGTGTTATTTCTTTTGTTTAAGGAAACCCCGTCTGTTTATTATTATTATTTTAATCGGAGTGATTGAACCTTTCCTTCTGGTACAATTCTTTCCTGCCTTGATATATGTAAAAATAATACTGTGATTTTAGTTTTCGTAAATTTATGTACACTAACTTCTTTTGGTCTATGTACAGAATGTTCGTTTTCCTGTGAATTAGGTGAACTTTGTTAAAATATACAAAAATAAGAAACCGAAAAGCGTACTAATTGAAATTGTACAATGGTTGTGCTAAAAGTTGTCAATATGCCAACTTTTCATGTATATAAAATTGAAAGCAAATTACAGAAGTATTCAAGGAAATTAAAAAATAATAAGCCTGCTTGTTTTGTCTGAGTTGTCTTCGTGTGCTTTGTTCTTACGGGGCCATAAAGTAGCTAGTATTCAACTAATTATCTAACGTACATTCAAACAAAGCGTGTTTTTTACTCTTTTTCTAACTAGAAATGATCATTTATTATACAACATTTTGTTAAAGTTAATACGTTATTTTTGAGTTATGCTGTTGAAAAAGAGAATGATGATGACCTTAACCCTATTAATAATGGCCGGAGTTCAAATTAACTGATATTTAAATATATATTATTGATATAAAAAGTAAGTTTGGGTTTCCAGAACAGCTTTCTGTCTTACAGGGCGTTACAGTGATCATCGATGCGGTAACCTACAAGCACAACAGAGATAAACGCTAGATATACATGTAAAACATCATTGTGCCCTCAGTTTATAATTCCAGTTGTTTGTCTCGTGCCCGCGTTAAAACTTTCACACTGGATATTATTAGCCCAAATGAATATTTATAACATATTCATTATTTACGAAATACCCGGATGTAAAAACCAGTAACTCGATTCACGTTCTGACCTCGGAATGTTGCCAACAAAGGTGAGATGCCGTTCTTCTCTGAGATTGCGACAATGTAGTTCCCCAGTTGTTCTTCGGTGTCTTCCGGGACCGGAGATAGCTCAACTAATACTCTAGGTTTCCGCCTATGTTGCCTATCCTTGACGCTAGGAAATGAATATCTTTTTAGGTTAAAACTGAAAAACCTACAAAAAACAAACCTAATATAATCTTTGAATTGAAATTCGTAATATGCGAATTAAGTAGAATGCGAGAAAAATACATCTGTACTTTATAGTTTAACCCGATTCTTATAATTAACATTAGGCCTATTGGTTTCTGAAAGTAAGCCAGCTATCGGCGTTAAACACAGTAACATATTTTTTATAATTGTATGTATATATATAATAAAAAAAAAAACAACTCAGATAGATTTTGGCGGTTTAACTCATACTACCTGACGAGTTCAGATACTAAGCAAAACAACCTCTTGACAGACGAAATACTGAACTGAAGTTTTTTTTACACGCCTCTGATTTGAAATTTATAACGAACAAATCTATACTATTATTCTGCTTGTTTGTATGTACGACCGTTACGCTTTCTGACCGAGAACCTGCTGCATAAGCGTGTGAAGTTAGAATGTTTCCCCAAGAAAAACCGCGCATGCGCACTATTCACTCGACGACAAACAGTCTGCCTGCGACAAAGAGCTGCAAAGCTCAGTGATCAAGTAGCTACAATTGCTGTATGAAACAAGAAGTAACAACAAAAAGGGAATGTAAATATACTTTACTAACCACCTTGTACAACAGAATATTAAAAACTTATCAAAGTTTTAAAAAAGGTTGGACGTTAGGTCGTAGAATAACATTATAAGTTTATTTATCGATAGTATTAAGTACAGTAAAGTTTAGTCCTAACTAAACTAAAGTAAAAAAAAAAAAAAAAAACGTACACAGGTTACAGTGTTGATTTATCTCTTTATCGAACTTAGGCCTAACATAAGTTACATTTTTATAAAGTACGGCTTATATACAAGTGGATTTATACATTTCTTTGTATGGTGCTAGGAATGTTATATTTAAAGAAATACTGTTAGGATAACGATACTAATTTGGCCGGAAATGTTTTGCGTGTCTCTGATAGTTAAGAAAAAAAAAGTTTGAAGTAAAGCGCAATATATCAGATACGAGTTCCTAATACTTCGCTAGTTTTCAACGTTCGACGCTGTAACATTAAAATATACATGGTTGTTCAGTATTAGAAAGATATACTTCAAAGAATATGTAGTGAAGTGATTAAAAAACTTTTATAAATGTTCACTTCTTCAGAAACTTTCTATGTTATCTTCCAAGAACGTAATATTTGATAATAGTGTGGGTATGTGGTAGAGGACTATCTATGCATGTAGTAGTCGTCCTTGACCAGTTAGATCCGAGTACCGTAAAAGCCGCCCAAGTTTGCATTATTAACCCTAATTCATAATTACCATTAATGTGCATGAATTTAAATCACTTAACTCGATTGTTAATATTAACGTGCACGTTCAGATCCCCGCTCACTTAAACCCGCTTCTTAAAGTGTATCAAACTTGTCAGTTATCTACGTGTAAGGAAGAGGTCTAAATAGCACCTGATTCTCCCAGGTCACGCACAGCACGACCAAACATCGACTCGATCCGATGGATGTAGTTATGTGTGATTTTTTTTTTTTATAGATTTTGACTTGTAATTACGTCAGCCTTTTTTAATACCATTTGTGCTTTATTTTCTAATTCTAGTTATTAGTGTCACTCGTAGAAAAACTAGCGAAAACATTGCTCCTATAAAGTAAACTTAGTTTAGAGTTACTATTTTAATTTTTAGATATGAAAAGATTTGGATTGTTGATGTTGCTTTTAAGTACAAAGCTACCTAATGGGCCATCTCTACTCTTCCCACCACAAGTATCGAAACCCGATTTTTAGCGTCGTAAGCCTGCTGAGCCATTGGGGATGGACGAAAAGATTTGGGTTAGACTTGTAGCTTCATTTGGTTGTTTATTTGTTATTCAAATTATTTAATAGCAAAAACAGTACAAATGAAACTAAGATAATAAAGCTTCACCTTCCTTAAGAAGTTCATTTTGTGCTTTATCGTAAAATGTTATATAGTTAAAAACGTATACTCAACATTTCTCATATCACGTGTACGATTTTAACAACTTCACATCTGAATTAATTTTTAATAAGTTGCTTTATGTGTTCTGCTGTTGCGACACCTATCTGCTGTAAGAGCTCACACTTAATGAACACAAAATAAGAAGTATGCTTTATTCTGAATACAACAGATGATTGGAAACTGCTCTGCCTCTTTGATAGAAGTATTGAAAGTGGGTTGTCGTAGTTTAAACGCGTTTATTATTGACTACGTTACTGGACTTTCCTAAGTTTGGTGAATATAGATGGTCATTAAAACATATATATTTAATAATATTCCAACTGCTGCTTATATCTTTTTCACTCAAGAGCCAAGTTATAGAAACCTGAATCATGTTCTAAAATGCAAAATTTCATATACAAGTATAACTCAGTAGCACGCGTCTAATTATATAGAAGTTAATATAACCAATTATTAACATTTGGCCACAGTTGTAATGGTAGTCAGGAGATAAGCAGAAAACTCGAAAAAAAAAACGTGTTACACCACTACACGTATTTGGATTTTTGTGTAGAGGAGTAGATATATATGTTATCAGGATGTGTAATTACTAAAACCCGTGACTATTATTTGAATTCCACTGGAGCTGAGTGGGATTCAAATATTATTAATAGTTTTTGAAATACTTTCTTTTTAAGATCATACTCAAATTCCTGGAATACAGTATTGGTCATTGAAATAAAACCATAGAAATCCCTCTCGTAGTATTAGTTTTAACCTTCAAAGATATAACGATGAAGCAATGAATATTTGAAGCATAGTAGTAGCGGAACCCTTCTTTTCCAATTAAAAAAAACAGGAAAAAATAAACAGGAATAAAGAGAAAATATATGCAAGTGGTAAAAAGACTACTTATTCGTTTTCTGGGATCACTTACGCTCGTGTTCTTGTATGGGCCTGTTACAATAAAGGCCCATGCTCTTGATGGTACTAAAAAGTATTAGTCACTCAGATTTCTTATTGCTAATTTGCAGGTGGGAATGACTGGCAAAAATCAACGGAAAATTGGCCTTACAGATATTTCGTACTTCAAAACGTCTTTGGATATTCAATCAACCGGAATTCCCTTTTTTCTCATAGCTACTTTGGTGTTTTCTTTTATATTAATGGGTTTCTGAAAACTTTATTAAGTTCGTATTTTTATGTTTATTTCAATAATTGTTTTATGGATTGTTTTTCTGAATGATTCAGATACGTGTTCAATTGGATAAAGCAGTATTTGTGAAAAAGAAAAAAAAATCTATACATATAAGTTTATCTCGTGGGTTTTACACCTGTATAAATGTTCGTGCAAGAACATCTGTCGTTTTGTTAACCTATTCCTAGATTACAGTATCTATGTTATGATACTGGCTTAGAGAGGGAAATTTCATGGACGATTTTCTCCAACGTGTTTTAAGATATAATGAAACAGTGATTTTGGGAGGTTATAAGTATCGCATAAAAACCAGAAACATCAAACGCCCTTCACAACCAGCCTGACAACATCGTTTCTCGCGAACCAATTTAAATAAAAACAGACAATTCCGGGTTCTTGTTCTCTTGCCAGAAGGTGATAGAATTGGATGAATAGTGTAAATCTGTCCTATCAAGAAAGCATTGAGCGAGCTTCCATAAGTGTGACAATATTATCAAAACTTTCTTCACCATAACACCGCCTACAGAACTCTTTATATATATAAATTGTTACGTCGCTGGTCGTTTGTTAATTACTCGTAAAAATTCTTTCCGAAGAACTTCAGCGATGCAAGACCTTTCTCAAATAAAACTAGTTTATTCTTTCTCAAT